GTTCGAATTATGTTTCTAGGTTTGTCAGCACCATACCCGTGCTCGTGGGTTTCACCGAAGTGGTAAACGTCGGAGACCTGCATCACTTCGGGCTTTCCTCCCACATTAAGCTGACACGCCGTGATATGACTAGAATACTGTTAAAAGCGGCGTTAAACCAACTCACTCACTCTTAAGACAATCATATGCTTCTTGGGAATCGCCAAGGGGTTTGAATAGTAAAGTGGTCTCACTATGTTATATGTATTTGTTTGGAAATACTTCTATACATCTGCAGACATAGTGAGAATAGTCCCAACGTTACTGTAAATAATTCATAAAAAATGTGTGTACTCATCTCTTAAAAATCTATCATGTATGGCTGTGGATGAGTATGTCTTGCTTATTTCATTTCGATCATACAACTTGTATTGTTTGCAACCATATTGTGTGAGTACGGTTTTACGCGGCTTGTAGCACTATTAAAGCAATATCACGGCAGGGGACACCGGAAATGGGCTTCACACATTGTACCCAAGTGACGAAGAACGCATTGACCACTTGGCTACCAAAACGGCAGCGTAGTTGCAATGCCGATATTACAATTTTGAAGTAGCTAGTGCTATAGACAGAAGTCGCCGAGGAAAGGCGCCTGGCATAGATAGTATTCCATCTGAATGTTAAAAGATTCAAACTGTTATATCACCAATGTATAACATATTAAATGTTTGTTTTAGTATTGTTAATACCCCCTAGAAATCGTCAAAGTGAATAATTACCCTATACAAAAGAGATGTACATTCAACCCTTCAGACGCTTATCGTATAGAGGGTTAACCCTCACAAATGCAATTTATGATACAATTTTCTAAATAAAAGATTACAATCTTGGAGAGAATCTTCAGGTGTTTTAAATGATGCTCAAGGTGGTTTTAGCAAAAAAGTCCACCATGGACCCTATTCAGACAGTTTCTTCAATTATAGAAACTAGAAGGAGGATGCAAAAATCCACGTCAACGGCTTTCATACATAATAATGGATATATATATATATATATATATATATATATATATATATATATATATATATATATATATATATATATATAAAACAAATTTTAAAAAGACTGTCAACAGAAATCTGTTATGGTATAAACTTTACGATGCTGGAGTAAATGGGAACATGATAGTAGCGCTTCGGTCACTTCATCTCGATGTTGTATGTATTGCTTTGATGTTAATCATGACTTGAAGCAAGGATGTTTACTGTTTTCTATAATGTTTACGTTTTCATCAATAACGTGCTGGATGTTATGACTGATTCCCAAATTGGCATTAATAGAGATGTACCAATATTGAACGTGTGCTGATGATATTATTTTATTTGCAGAATCTGAAGATGATTTGAACAAATTGCTACAAATATTAAATCACGAATGTGAAACTAATGATACTGTTATCAACGTTGATAAGACCCATGTTGCACATTTTTAAAATCCAAGTGTCCAAAGAATAACACAACAGTTTTTTTGGTGGTAGTTCGGCTTTGAGTATTGTTACCTGTTATTGTTTATTGTTGACTGAGCATCTTGATTATGATGCTATGGCAAAGGCTGCGGCCAAATCAGCTAACAGAGCTTAAGGTCTAGTAAGTTCCAAAATTAAGACAATCACAGGTATAGATTTCAGCACTTTACCATCTTCCCGGGGCAAGAGACTTAACTGACTATAAAAGTCGAGTTTCCACCCTTGCCGAACTAGGCTGGTATTATGGAAAATCGAAATCCGGTTCGTAAACTGTCATGCAGATTTCGGTCGATTGCAGGATTTACAAAGCGAACTCGTTGTCAGCAGATATGTTCCAAATCTTTTCATATTTTTAATCAAGGTGCTTACGTGATTTGATGCATTTCGCGATGTATCGCGATGTATTTTAAAGTCAGTTAACTCTCTTGCCTCGCGAAGATGGCACTTTTCTAAGTTATATGACACTATGGTGTGGTCTGCCCTCAGTTACGGCGCATCTGTATGTGGTAACCGTGATGTATCTACTGTTAATGCGGTACATCAACGATCTATGAGTTTTTTTTCTGGGCGTGGGCAGTTATGACACTAATCTTAACGGGTATACAGGGTTGATACCTCCGATTGTCAGACAGTGGATATGTATAGCTAGACAGTTGTGTCGTTTTCGAAATATGCCTCACCAATTAAAACACATGTCTTACAATGGGCGGAAAGGCTCGCCCCTAATCGCAATAATTGGGACTCTAATTGAACATGCAGCATATTTTTTAACATCACCGCTGTTTTAAATACGTTATTTTCAGCAAAATACATGATGTTCTTATGGAAAAATATCTGATATGTTCATACTAGCACAATCAAACTCCTTATGTGGGATGTTTAAAGATGTTATTTTGAGTTGTATGCCTCTGAGTTACCGTACTGCATTTGAAATATTTAGGTGCTGTACTGCACCTTTAATAATCAAACAGGCAACTTGAAGGTTGAAGGCAGAGTGTGTTTTACCTGTAATTATCATATTGAAGGAAATGTGTTTATTTTAATGTCCCTTTTCGATGATCTTAGATCTACCTTATTTACGAGTATAACGGCTAAAATGTCCAACCTTTCGAACAATGAGAAATTGTGTGTTCATTTGACACAAAAGTTATATTTCACTGTTAAAACCTGCTTTTTGATATTACAATAATGTTTATCTGTATAATTATATCACTTAGGTTTTGTATCGTCTCTCATAGTTTTATGCATGTTTTTTTTATGATGTGCAGTGGTGAGACGAAAATAAAATATGTTTGTCTGGCTGCAAATCTTCGTATTTGTACTGGTGAGTTGTTAATGTATGTTCTGTGATTTTACGGTCATTAACTAACAACAGGTTCGAACAAGATTGTTCGCCTGTAAGCATATATATAGACAGACAGACAGACAGACAGACAGACAGATAGATAGATAGATAGATAGATAGATAGATCGTGATGCCAAGAATCAACAAGAGGACAAAGTCGATAGCTCCCGCAATTGTAAATACTTGCGTGAATAATTAATGAAACGTGTTGCTATGGAAACTCGCAACAATTATTCTTTTTAAAACCCCAATTTCCAAAAGACACCATTTCACCGCTAGACCTTATCAAAGTACCAAGTTTGGTGAGGAAATATTGTACGGTTCTCAAGATCTGTTCCGGAAACGACATCTTGCACGGACGGACTTTTGCTGTTGGTGGAGGTGAAACGGATAAGTCGCATTTCAACGTTGCCAAGATCACAATTGTCCCAATTTTGAGCATGATATTAGCAACAAGGCGCTGTAAGAGATCGTCCAAGATCAACGAGACCCCGCAGCACCACAACAGCCTTGGGTCGCTGCGTCCGGGTCTTCCACCTTCGAATTATGACTCTCACCTTTCGTACATGTACCTGCAACACGATATCTTGATTAACGACATATCTCTGCACCGACCGTTCCCGTTTACGTTTTTAGTTAACTGCATGTATGCAATCTTATGAGACATGGCTGTCATATTCAACATGTAATCTTCGCCCATTGTGTAGAATGACTACAATAAAAATGTATTGTGGTATTTGTCACATCTTTAAACTTTGCCCATCGACCAGGAAAATATCTAGTCCATGTCTTTGTTACTTCACGACTAGACTATTGCAGCTGTAGTCATCATCTGGAAAAGCAATCTACAATGGCCCTCACAGAGTTGCACTGACTACCAGTGACGCAGCGATCATGTTCAAACTGCTGTGTACAATTCGCTCAGTGGTCTGGGTCTGTACCAGATCTCAGAGGGTCCTGTATACCACCCCGAATATGTGCACACCGATCGGCAAGTCAACAGCTGATGAGAGCGCCACAAGCCCTAAAGTCAAAGTATGGACACAAAACTGTCTGCCGAACTTTAACTGTTCAATGGAACGAGCTTCAAATGAATATCAGGAGATCCGAGGATTTCAATTGCATATACGTTATACCCTAAAGACCATCCTATTAAAAAGAACACACGTCTGAGCGCCCACGAGCAAGGCTTCTTTCTGGATAAGATGCACTTAAGTTTAATTCCTTAGTTTATTATGTTGTTTATGTATGAACCACCGTGTCTTCCCGTGGTTCCAATGGCAGTAATTGTGAACGTGTAATTTGAGCCCTTTGTGTTGCCAGTTATTCATGTATCATTGTGTAAACTAGCGAACATTCCGTGAATGAGCCTATTCAGGAAAGACATTTCTTAATGCTTACCCTCCTTTACTCTTGTATGACCTATTTGTTACAAAAGTATATTCACAACAATTCCACTTTTAGTTCTAGAGTAATGAATCATCCAAGTCTCCTATGAGCGTATTTATTACGCAGGTGTTAGAAATTATTGTTGACGTTTTATTAGAAAGGTTCATCTGTTGTATTGCGAAACCACAATGCAAACACAATCACTTCGCCATTTCAAGAAAACCTCAACACAAACTCAAGTCACACAATATAACTTGATCTAATATATTGTGCTGTAAGTTTAATACTAACTTTGACTTTGAAATGACCTGGTCAAGATCTCTCATGTTGCTATGTTTACATTTAGAACTTTGCTAACTCGATGAAACAGTTATTTAATGAAGTGTGAAGTATGAAAACAGCTAAATTACACAATTAACTCTTCACCTGTTCTCACCTTGAAGACAAGAGAAGAAAGTCACCTGCAGTTTATGCGGAACTAACTACCGCGACGAAATAATACTTGTATCCCTAGAAATGTAACTGTTGTGTTTTTTAAGTCCATGTTACATGACATTTTGACAAACATATATTAAGAACAATAACTCTAAAAAAGGGTTTACCTTGAGGGTTAACTGTCAGTAGGTTTATCTCAAAGGACTTTGATACATCTGTTATCGTAATGCACTTCAACAACCAACTCATGTGTAATGAATCTTCTGATAAGGAAAAGGGTCCCTTTGGGAAGCATATAAAATGAAACCCAAGCTTATAGTGTCTGTAGCATCGACAGAGTCTCCAGAAACGACAAGAATGGTGCACCTGGGCTTCTGGCTGCCTCTACTAGCCTTCCCCATGGTGGGGGCAGTTCTTCAAACGATTCAACTCCGACAAACTATCATAGCGAACTGTGATCTTATCTTTGCCGCTACATCAAATCCGCTCTGCTTAAACAATGCCTTTATTAACGTATGTTCCAACTTTTTCGTCATGGCTGAAATCTGCAGGTGGACCCGATGTAATTTTATTCCACAGTACCCCGACACCAATTTGCTAGAGGTGGTTGAGTTCTCGGACATAGCTGGTTATCAACAACTGGTGAACTTTTGTGGCGCCAGCAACGTTCCATTGTGTCAGTTTGCAAGGACCATGCTCCTACTAGCTCAACAATGTAATTCAGGTAAACTGTTTTTTATTGTTCGCAGATTGTTTCGTAAGCATACCATATCAAATCTGGTATATACGTAAAGTGACCTTGAGAAGATAAGTTAGTTCACGGAAATAATGTTCCAGAATATTCTACATCTTCAAGTGTAAATCAAATATTCAAAACTGGCATATTAAGCACGTATCAAAAATGTTAGTTCTGAATATATATCTGATTAAATATTTGCATTTCATAATCTTTCCAAGAATGGAGCTGTTTGTATCTTGTACAGAATGTTTCACTTTATGTTTCTTATGGCATTATTGTGTCATTATTGTCCACATTATGTTCAATCCAAACTGAACATTTAGTTGCAGCATGCCCTCAGACAGGAGCAATCCTCTGTGTTCAGCCTGGCCTGTGTACCCCACTTTCCCAGATCCCCAACCGATCCTGCCCAATAGCGGGGACTGTGTGCTGCATAGTAAGTCTATGTACTGCGTGTATACTTAATGTAATGGGTCTCTGTGCAGTGCTGCGTCTCACAAGGGTGTCATTATCCTACCAGCGTGGACTTGGTCATTACTTTGTGAGCACCATGTCCATGCTTGTAGTATACGTCTGAATAAAAGCGACAAAGCCCTTTCTATATTCCAAAGAAATCTCGAGTAGAGTCGATTGTAAGATTCCGACTTTATCACGAGCACGCGTATATGATTCATTTTCAAATAGTGATGAAACCGTGTGTTCGCGAAAAAGCTGAGCGTATCCTGCCCTACCGGTGGTAACCGTCTTAAACACCCAAAGGCAAGTCGTTTGTTCACCTGAAAAAAATATGGCAATATTGCATCGGACATCAATTTTGTAATCTTGATCGAACAAACTTGTGTCGATCTTTGAAATATTCGTTGAAAGATCATACTCAATTGAACCTCAAAGTTCGTGAAATATCGACGCCAAATGCTGGTGCTGCTGGAATATTGCTCGTCATAAGGGGAAAGTCGAAGTCATCGAAGTCCTTTTACATATATGTGTATAATGTTGTGTAAATTCATGTATGAACAACTAAGGTATCATTAACTATCTGCGTCCTCTTTCAGGCGCTACCCACAACTGCCATGACCACTACCACGCCAACAACTACTACCACGCCAACAACTAGTACCACGACACCAACCAGTACGTTAGATTAATGAGTGGAACTACATGATATTGCAACTTATTACATTTTAACCGCCATTCAGTGGGATCACTGCAATGTTTAGTGGGCGAGTCACCGCGAACTCCCCAACTCACTGGTCAAACGTGCGGCCCTAAGATCTACCCCTTAGGTGTGCCAGAAACGTGATTGCGGCTCGAATTCCAGATTCGCCCTCATTATAGGCTTTCAGCACCATCCCAGTACACGTACTGAACGCGACGTTAAACCCAGCATCAATTAATAGCATCAATAAAACATATATCAAAACCCGGGATGGTGACGTCAATTCCGCATTTGGGAAAACATTTTTGCAGGACTTGCAATAAGGCAGCTGGATTTGTTTTGTTCTGAAGCATAATATGTTGTGGGTCCGTATAACACATGCAAGTCTCCACCGTTCAGAGAAGAGCTTGGATGTTTTCAAACATTGACTGAACAACTATGCTGTCTCAAACATACATCCCTAAGGCATATGTTTTACTTCAGATAAACGCGTGTTCCTTTTTGACGCACAGTGGACTCGAGCTTGGTTATTCTCTGGAGTTGACGATGTATATTGTGATGCTTTCTTGTTTTGTTTCAGTAACATGTAACGCCCCGGGGGTAATCGGCTGTTTTTTTGCGTGTGCTAGCGGAATCGAGCTTACGGCTGCAACCTGTCCTGGAATCCTAAGATGTTGTGTAAGTACAGATGGTTGTGCTTCGTTTGTATGTTGTTTGAAACCGCACTCAGCAATATTCCAGCAATATGACGCCGGTCTGTAAATAATAGAGTATGGACCAGACAGTCCACTGATTGACATCATGAGCGTCGATGTACGTCAGAATCAGTTCGATGCTCTACCAGATATTTGGAACATGGTCAAATAAATAAACTTTAACAGCATGTCAAATCTTAATCTGATATAAAATTATGCATCAAATTATCAAAGCATTTCATCCACACAAACACTCTTATACAGAAGGAGCGTGCGTGCGTGCTTGCGTGCGTGCGTGCGTGCGTGCGTGCGTGCGTGCGTGCGTGCGTGCGTGCGTGTATTTAACGCCGACCTCAGCAGTAGACCAGCCATTTAACAGCAGCCTGCAAATACTCGGGTCTCGACCAGACACACCAGTTATTGCCACTCACAGTTTACGATTTTTCAGCTCTTGGCCTTGATGGAAAATGTAATTTATGGTTCTGTTAAATATTTTATTTCTGTTTAATAGTCCACTTTTCCATATAGTAACATATCACAAATATGATGTATACGTCAACAATTCCGTCATATATAAAATACTAACGTGGATTTTCTTCTCTTTGCAGCTGATCTGAATACAACCAGGATAGACTGTTTTGTATATACGTTTCCTCTTCTGTCAGTATAACTGTACATATATGTTGTTGGTGAAATAAATAATGTTTAACTCCCTGATGTTGTTACTGGGATGTTTTTGGTGCTTCCAGTGACCGTATGGGCTCAGATTTCATATTCCTCCTGATCAGACATATTGACGCGGTTCGTAAGGAATGTGATATTATAAACAAGTGAGGTGAGGGGAGGTGAAATGGGGTTTAACGTCGCGTCCAAGATTATTGCACTTATATAGCGACGTGCATGTACGTGTGTGTGTGTTTGTGTGGCATGGCTGCTTCTACTAGTCCAGGCTGATGCCGATTTATAGTGCTAGCCCACTGAGATACCATGCCGCAGTTCAACATGAATACCCCACTCAGACACAGTATACTGACTCCGAGACGACCAGCCCTTTAATGCCGAGCGCCAGACAGGGTAACAACAAGTACCATCTTTTAATGTCTTTTGGTATGACGCGGATATCACCCAACGAATGGAAACGTTGATCAAACACAAGTTAAACGATTTACTAATGCATTACACGTTTTCCATTAATTACCTTAGATTAGTTACAGACTGTTTGGAGGGATACAGTGATCGGAAAATGTTTGCTTTTATTATGACTTAATCCGAAATTGTCTCTGCAAATTGAGCCAAGTTTCATACTGTGATCTCAGCTGTGATGACTTTCACCTGTCATGAAGGTCACGTAAATTCCATTCGATGAAGATGAGGTGAAATTGGGTTTAACGTCGCGTCAAAGATTATTGCACTTATATAGCGACGTGCATGTACGTGTATGTGTGTGTGTGGCTGCTTGTACTAGTCCGGACTGATGCAGATTTATAGTGCTAGCTCACTGAGATACCATGCCGCAGTTTAACATGAATACCCCACTCAGACACAATATACTGACTCCGAGCCGACCAGTCCTTGTTTTAGCCCCTTAATGCCGAGCGCCAGACAGGGTAACAACAAGTACAATCTTTTAACGTCTTTTTTGTATGACGCGGCCCGGGATCGAACCCTGGACCTTCCGCTCTCCGGGCGGACGCTCTACCTCTAGACCATGGAGGCGGTCTTCATGCGATGAAGATAACAACAAAGAGATCCTGAATGCTAAATGTCGTCAAATTCCAATTATGAAATACACAATTATCGTGTACACAAGTTATCGTATACACTATTATCGTATACACAAGTCATCGTATACACTATTATCGTATACACAAGTTATCGTATACGCTATTATCGTATACACAAGTTATCGTATACACAAGCTGATCAATAATATTAAATAAAAAACAATAGTACATCCAGTTGTACAACCGCCATCATATAGCTCAGGATATACACACAAAAATTAGACAGGTTCGATCTTCTGAAAGAAATTATGTTATTATTCTTTCGGACTTCAACGAAATAGATTTCTGTCTTGACATTTCCCGCCTCCATGAACAATCCAGGCAATTTAGCATTAGGGTTGAAGCAAATGTGACCGCAGAACCCAAACAATCTTTGACATGTACCACTTGCTGAAAACGATTCTGACTCAAGATAAAAATTAATGAACAACTTAACAACTAACTTGCGTATCAATAACATTCGTATTTCACATTAAATGGAGTGTGTAAGTTGGCGTGTCAGTTTATTGTTGATGGAAAGCCCGAAGTGATGCAGGTCGATAACGTTTACGACGTCACCCAGTATGTACCATGACACTCTCATTCAAGTATCATGCATGTACCAGACACTCTTACTCAAGCGACATATATAATGTACCATGACATAACCCCTCAAGAATCTTTTATATACCATGACACACTCACTCAAACATTATGCATGTACCAGACGCTCTTGCTCAAGTATCATGTATGTACCATGACATAATCCCCCAAGCATCTTTTATCTACCATGGTACTCTCCTTCAAGCATCATGCTTGTAACATGACACTCTCACTCAAGCAACATGTTAGTACCTTCACACCCTCACATGACGTCTCCACATCCTACGATTACACCACCACATAACGTGTCCACATCCTATCATTACACCCTCTTATGACGTGTCCACATCCTACCATTACACCCTCACATGACGTGTCCTCACCTTACCATGACACCCTCACATGACGTGTCCACATCCTACCATTGCCCCCTCATATGACGTGTCCACATCCTACTATTACAACCTCACATGACGTGTCCACATCCTACCATTACACCTCATATGACGTGTCCACATCCTACTATCACACCCTCACATGACGTGTCCACATTCTACCATTACACCCTCACATGAAGTATCCCCATTCTGCTATCACACCCTCACATGACGTGTCCACATCCTACAATTACACCCTCATATGACGTGTTCACATCCTACTATTAAAGCCTCATATGACGTGTACACATCCTACTATCACACCCTCACATGACGTGTCCACAATCTACCATTTCACCCTCACATGAAGTATCCCCATCCTGCTATCACACCCTCACATGACGTGTCCACATCCACAGGAACTCGATGATAGCGTGTATAACATTATATATTCGTATAGAGAAAAAAAATCACACCCTTTATATACATAGAGACAAGGAGTGACACCCGCCATCTTGGTGTTTATTCAAGATTTCGCACTCGGTTCGAATCACAGCTCGATATGGCATGCTATATGAATGTCACTTATTTCAGCCCATTAGAACTTGCTAAACAAACCTCAGGCAACACAATCGTGTTCATCTGTGGCCACCTTACCTCGTATATATTTTAAAACAACCATCAAATCTCAACCCTAAGCTTCGACGTCGAGGTAAACAAGAAAAAGGTGGCCGGAAATAACAGCGCTGCACGGGCTTGAATTCGACAAACGTTTCACCCTCACATCACGTGTCCACATTCTGCCATCAGACTCTCACATCACGTGTCCACATCCTGCCAATACACTCTCACATCACGTGTCCACATCCTGCCATTACACTCTCACATCGAGTGTCCACATCCTGTCATTACACTCTCACATCACGTGTCCACATCCTGCCATTACACCATCACACCACGTGTCCACATCCTGCCATTACACTCTCACTTGACGTGTTTCCATTACACTCTAACATCACGTGTCCACATCCTGCCATTACACTCTCACATCACGTGTCCACATCCTGCCATTACACCCTCACATCACGTGTCCACATCCTGCCATTACATCCTCACATCACGTGTCCACATCCTGCCATTACACCCTCACTTGAGGTGTCCACATCCTGCCATTACACTCTTACATCAAGTTTCCACATCCTGCCATTACACTCTCACATCACGTGTCCACATCCTGCCATTACACCCTCACATCACGTGTCCACACCCTGCCATTACACTCTCACATCACGTGTCCACATCCTGCCATTACACCCTCACATCACGTGTCCACATCCTGCCATTACACCCTCACATCACGTGTCCACATCCTGCCATTACACCCTCACATCACGTGTCCACATCCTGCCATTACACCCTCACGTCACGTGTCCACATCCTGCCATTACGCCCTCACATCACGTGTCCACATCCTGCCATTACGCCCTCACATTACGTGTCCACATCCTGCCATTACACCCTCACTTGAGGTGTCCACATCCTGCCATTACACTCTTACATCAAGTTTCCACATCCTGCCATTACACTCTCACATCACGTGTCCACATCCTGCCATTACACCCTCACATCACGTGTCCACACCCTGCCATTACACTCTCACATCACGTGTCCACATCCTGCCATTACACCCTCACATCACGTGTCCACATCCTGCCATTACACCCTCACATCACGTGTCCACATCCTGCCATTACACCCTCACATCACGTGTCCACATCCTGCCATTACGCCCTCACATCACGTGTCCACATCCTGCCATTACGCCCTCACATTACGTGTCCACATCCTGCCATTACACCCTCACTTGAGGTGTCCACATCCTGCCATTACACTCTTACATCAAGTTTCCACATCCTGCCATTACACTCTCACATCACGTGTCCACATCCTGCCATTACACCCTCACGTCACGTGTCCACATCCTGCCATTACGCCCTCACATCACGTGTCCACATCCTGCCATTACGCCCTCACATTACGTGTCCACATCCTGCCATTACACTCTCACATCACGTGTCCACATCCTGCCATTACACCCTCACATCACGTGTCCACATCCTGCCATTACACCCTCACATCACGTGTCCACATCCTGCCATTACACCCTCACATCACGTGTCCACATCCTGCCATTACACCCTCACGTCACGTGTCCACATCCTGCCATTACACCCTCACATCACGTGTCCACATCCTGCCATTACGCCCTCACATCACGTGTCCACATCCTGTGTGTATCTGCGTGTCTATGCGCGTGTGTGTATGTATGTTTGTACATGTTTGTATCTCTCTCTCTCTCTCTCTCTCTCTCTCTCTCTCTCTCTCTCTCTCTCTCTCTATTAAAACATTTAAACAAGGTTCAACGCTATTTTGCCTTTTACGCCCAATGCAATCTGTTTCGGCGGATAATCGAGACTGGTTATTCTCTGGCGTTGACGTTTCATGTGTACGACGTGGTGGTCTCTGTGGTCGCTTGTCGTCAGACTGTGTCAACTCTCTGGTGTTTTCAGTGAAGTTGTCGCGGGTATCAACGGGTAAATAGCGTTTAAGCAACACCCAACTGGCGTTTCCGCAGGCCAAAAATCGAACATGTTTTTTGGTTTAATTGAGCGTAAAATGATAAGCCATGCGGTAACCCTCATAATTATTTAAGCACGGACGTTGTGTCGGTTGCCTTCCAGTAGATAATTGTATCAGATTGTACTCGTCGACATGTTCTATGTTCAGATCAGTTGCTATGATACATTGCGACTTGCACCCCGTTAAGATCCGGGTTGACATCAGTAGTTTGTCGTAGTAGCCTAATAATGGGACCGGGTGGTAAGGCTCTCTGCCTTTGTTGATGCATATTGTAAGCCTTTCAACTGTTACTGGAAAACACCAGAGGCTGGAGGTGGTTCTGTTTCAAACC